GGATGTGGCCAGTGCAGAGCAGAGGGGGAGGATCATCTCCCTCGACCTGCTGCCACGTTCTTTTTCATGTATTCCAAGATTCCATTGGTCTTCTTGGCCTCAAGGGCACACTGCTAGCTCATGGCCGACCTTTTGTCCACAGGAGACTAAGATCCTTATTCACAGAGCTCCTTTCTGGCAGGTCAGCCTCTAACCTTTATTGATGCATGCAAATCCCAATGAAAGCAACCTGTACATTGAGATATGGGAATTAATTGCTTTGACATAGCCTTATAGAATCATAGATCACTATGTTCTTCTGCCAAGTATTATCAATTCCTTTCTTTGCTTATGCATAGAGAAGCACATCAGGCTTGCTAGACTGTCTAATATGCACTCATTCATGATTTTTTGCTAGCTTAATAGATCTTCTGAAAAGACTGACAGAAAAAAAATTCTCACTTATAGTTAGTATCATTGGTAATTAATTTTAATATGCAGGCGGAATTACCAGCAAATTAGTATTATTTTCCCTTTCCTACTCTGAACTTGGTTGTAAGTTCTTGAGCCTAATGACTGGACTAAGTGCATGAAAATTGAACCAGATGGGTCTGTTTTACTCATTATTTACTTTTCTCATAACCATCTGTTAATCTCCATCAAAAAATATGGTAATTGAAATTCTCAAGCACTTCAGATAATTTTTAATATTCACTATTGCAATGGAGAGGGTCATACTGCCTAGACTCGTGGGAGCTGGGAGGAGAAAGCAGCATGAAATAGTTCCTGGAACTTATTTTGACATATTTATATCAACTACTGACTAAAGTAAGTCCTGAGGTAAGGGACAGAACCTGTTAATAAGGTTAAGCATGTACTTCAGTTCTTTACTTCTGCTTATACAGCTTGTCATATAGCTAACTTCACTGAGGAAAGTGTTCTCTCCTCTGTGCCCTCATGGGTCTGTTTTATCTTCAGTGAATCTAATATACAAAGTCATGTTTTGTTGAAATTACAGAACAGTGAAAAATGCATGAATAAGATATTAATCTGCGTAATTCAGAATATGAATATTAAAGAACATCACTGCATTTTCTAAAAATTTAGAATTCTGATGTATCCTGACTTCGTACAGTGTTAGAAATAGAAATGTAGCTCTTCTGAAAAGGACAAAGAGCAGCTGAAAGATTTGGCATTGCCTCGCTCTTGTACTTTATTTTGAACTCATAATTTGGGTTTACATTCACATAACTCCCTCTTCTGCCATCTTCTGAAATCGCAGTACTTTGTACCGAATTGCAAAGGCATCACCTGACAACAGCTTTTATCTACAGAACTCTGAATTATTTGATCAAAACTGTACCCTGGATGCTTCTGCTATAGGTATCCTACTTATTTTTTAACCAGTTAGGTACTAGTTTAATGTCATATAAGAGCTAGATGTTTATAAGCAGCAAATGCCTTTTAAAGGAATTGTTCTATGAAACTATTCATGTTAACCTCTCATGTGACAGTGGTATCAAGAGACTTTTTTTTCTGTCCACTAAGAAAAATGTCTGAGATCCTCAAGATATATATGAGTGTATGAAATGTACATGACTCTATAACATGACTCTACTGCTATCAGCATATGACTGGATAATTTTGAGTTTATTGCATCTCTTACAATAATAATTTGACCATGGAGGGGAAAAGAGAATTGCTATGCATTTATTTCCAATGTAAATGTGTTCCCCAAAGTTACAGAAGTGACATCAGCTGCTGATGCTTAGGAAAAAGAAATCAATAAAGGAAGTCAAACATAACAAATGAGAATATCAGGCCCAGTGACAGTAGACAGGAACCTGGGTGCCTTACATCCACACACCTTTCAATCAAGTAATCTTTGTATGGCAAGAGAATAAACTGAAGGCACTCTGGCAGCCAAGTAGACTTTGATCAGTTTTGTTCATAGATGTGACTCATATTTCAGTAGCCTCTTTTTTCTCAGCCGCTGATCTTCCCTAAACTTTGGAGTGAGTGCTTAGTGAACTTAAAGGAACCTTTACTCATTCTGCAAACAGATACTAAATACTCATGCTGAGCCACAGTATTTTTTTTTTTTTACCTAAAACATCAGATGCAGTTTCTTTGTTACAGTTCTTTTTGTCATGTCCTTCACGTTCTACAGAGGAAAATTAAGTGAAAGATGAGTTATTTTTTATAATCACATTGGTTTCCATTAACTCAGTTTTACAGTAGAAATTGAAGATATTTCTGTACATTTTATTTTTTTTTTCTTATTTATATTTTTGTACTTTTAAAAATTATTTCTGTGGGGTTTTTTTTTGTTGATCTCATGGGAATTGATATAGTATGCACAATTGGAAATGTTAGATACGCTTTCATAAGTCGCTTTAATATGTCTAAAGGGGAGGCCAAGACAAGTTCAATATTTTTCACACTAGTGTTTCTGGGCTTAGTGGTGACTGTCTTTATTTATTTGTTTATTTATTTTTGTAATGGCTGACTGTACCATATTGGACAACACTCTGGTGGAAACACATGACAGCCTGCTGCATGTTGTCTGCTGAGATGGACTCTCGCTGGATCTGAGATAGGATCATTATTGGTGTATTTTGTCTTCCTCAGAGCACAACGGGTAGGCCGTGTGCAGTTTGTGAAAGTACAATGTGCACAATACAAAAGTGAAGCTGTATATTGCTTATTCTGTGTGTGACATGAATGCATATGTGTATTTGGATGCCCAAAGCCTGCTGAGAATAATACTAGACAACAGCAGACAATCAAGACGAAACTTCAAGCACTGTTGGTAACACTCTGTATTACCTATCTAGCATGACTATTGCAGAAGGCTATTCCTTATGCTGTATCAGATTTTACTCAAAACAAAACAAAACAAAACAAAAAACGAATAACAAAACAAAGAAACAAAAAGCCAGCATGATGAAAAGGTTACCAGGTCCTGGGACTGAACTATAGTCAGAACTATTATTTGATAGCATATTCAAAGCCATAGTTGGCTGCCGCTAGATCTGCATTGGTATTGTGTTGGAGTAACTGTATCCTGCTTGTATGCTGCTGCCAGTCTCACACAGACCATGTATAGGGCTCCTCCATCTGCCTTCCTGTTTCCCCTGACCTCTCCCTCCAAGGATAAAAAGCAGCTGTGCTGGCTTGAGTCTCCTAGAGGCATCATGACCATCAGAAGCAATTGTGCTAACCAGAGGTTGTGGAAATGGCACTGCATTGCTACACAATCCATTCTGGTTTTAATGTGGAGAGTATTGCAATAACTTAACATTTTAATCTCCACTCTCCCTATGGTGAATTCCTAAAAATAATGCAACTTAAATGGACATTAACAGCCAGAAGTACCAGATTAAAAACATAGAATGGTAAAGTTAATAAAAAATGCATGAACTGGGCCTTTTCTTGTTTTCTTTTTCGGAGGGTTGTTAAATGACTCTAAAAGAGATATTCAGTAGTGTTGGGTTTAGAGTTTGAACTCTCTAGGTAGTCTGCAACAGTGTTTTGTCTTCTACTGTCTTTTAGTTAATGCTGTATGGTAATTCCTGGTATTTAATTCAAATGTGAGATTTTTCATTTCTTTTTTATTAATTTTAAATTTAATTCTTGCTCTCTTCCTGACAATATCAAAAATTCTTATTCACTGTAATCATTGCAGTGTTTCACAGCAATGGTGATCACAGCAAATCAGCATTTTATGCATGATCAGATTCATAAACCTTTGCAAAGTTGTGAATGTTTACAGTGGTTTGGGTCGATGAAGGGGACTTGCCAAGAAAATACACATCCTTCAAAAAATGCATTCTTTAATTTCTTAGGAGATATATATAAATAATGATTTTAAGAAACCAAGGATGCTTTCTGCTTTGTTCATATTTTAATAGTATACTCCTCTTTGCTGTTTCAGTAATTAAGTCTTATGACATTCCAGAAAGCGTAAATCCTGCTGAGATGTTTAAGTTTGGAGCAACCTTCTTGATGTACAAACAAATTAAATAAATAACAGACACTTACCCAGGATCTTAACAAGCTGTTTTGCTCGTTCCTTTGAAACGCAATTGAACGGTGAAGCGATATGGTCTATTCAAACTGTTCTAGCCTCCTTGTTCACTAGAACCTTCTTTTGAAATTCATTGCCTTCAATTACATTTTTTAAAGAATTTTAATTACGTGCCTGAAAAGAATAAAGATGCTCCAGGCTCCATTTGTTTATCGTGGAAGGCCTAAAAAAAATGAGGACAGAGCTTCCCAGCTCATGCAGGGGTTGCAGAGAGGGAGAGATGACTTTTAATTCGACAAGTTCAGAGAGATTTCTTAGTTTGACGCGCACAGCAGGGGGTCTTTGAGCGCCTGGCAATACTTCAGCATTCTGAGCTTTGAAAGTCTTTCCCTGCAGCAGAAATTGTATCAAAAGCCAATGATAATATTCCCTGCAAGGTAAAGGACCCTATTGAAGATTTCTAGAGCTGTTTATTTATTCATCACAGTTTTTTCTTTTAGGACGTACCAGGCGTATAGGTAATAATTCACACGAATGCTAGAAAAATATAATAAATAAATAAATAAATAGGAATCCCTCATTAATCCTTCAGCTTTCCCTTCAGTTTTCCATAGGCCACGTGCATCCTATCATTCCCTGCCATGTACTCTGCATAAAATCTTCACTTCAGATCTCAGTTTTTCCCTATTTTTAATGGAATTGTCATTTCAGTCTGTTTTCTACCACCAACTGAGTACATAAGATGTTTATGGCCATTTCCTACCTCTAAACCCTCAAAATGATTGATTAATTTTACAGAAGGATATTCAATTTCTTAGGGGTCTTTTTAAATCTTATTTTTAAAGTAGATTTGCGATAAAGTGTTTCAAAGCCAAGATTAAAGCCGTATTTATATTCCAGAGATCAGAGTTTTAACGTTTTGGCATTACTTTTATTTGAAAAGTATGCACATATGTTTTTCTGTTTTTGTTTTGTTTTGTTACTGCAGCAGAGCTGGGAATGTGAGACTACGACAACCTTTCCCTTGTGTAATGTCAATGTCGGCTATCACTTTGGCAGAATCAGCCAGCTCAGTGAAGACATGAAAACCCTCCTTCCCTCCTGTTTTTTCATCTGCTGGTGGCATTCAAAGTGACCTTCCCTTATAAATATTGGTGAGTGACCACATGGGGAAAGTAGTTGTTTGGTGCAGAGAAACTTGTTTCAAAAAGCTGTGTTGACCTAAAGGTTCTTCCTTTTTTTTCAAAGTATAACAAAAAGACACGTGAGCAGGTGTTTGTTTTGTTTTGGTTTTTTTCCTTTTTAATAATAACTTCCAGTATTTAGTAACACAATGTATTTCTCTTGGCCTGCAAGCATTTATAGAACACTAGCCTGTGTTATTTATTATGACCCTAAGAAACTATCTCTTAGAAGGACTGTTTTTAAGACAGAGATTTCCTGACAGCAAACAAGAATCTCTCATCTCTTTCTGTTGTTTTGTGTTGGCTAAATGGTCTGAGATGGTATAAATTTATTATAACGCCCCCAGTCTGGCAAGATGAGACTTTCCCAGGTGGAGGAATTAAGGAAGATAGCCAGAGGCTGCTTTCTGGGACCCTTCTGGTTTGGGAAGCATGCCTAGAGTGAAATCACAGCACTGCAGAAATTCTGATACCCATGGGGCAGTCCAGGAAAGCTGTGGTAATGGGAATAGTTCCATAAGGCAGTCTAAATTACACACTTCAGTACTGAAAAAAGTTCTCAGGTCATCTAAGGCTTCCTCAGCTGATTTATCCTTAAGACATCCAGTATGCCTGAGGAGATTTTCAGTGTTGCAAACAGATGTATAGTGAAATAGCCACCTGTGTCTAAGGAATATTTACTGTACCATAACACAGAACACTACAAAGTATATACTCAGGTGCAATAAATATTTTATCTAGCTAGGAAGAGTCTGGAAGTTGTAAATATATGGAGGGTGTAAGGCTGGAAATTTTTGAAGGATTACACATATTTAATCTAAAGACATTGCCATAAAAGTCACTTAGCTAGCTGCCATCCATTATTATCTACATTACTGCAATTATCTCCTATTCAGGCTACATTCAGACAACTGTGATGTATCATTTATGACTATATGATAAGTAATGTTTGATTTTTATATTTTTTTTCTTAACTGCATGTGTACTTGAAGTGTGTCAATTTGAAGGATCTGAGAAGCTTCAAAAGAAATATTAATAGGAAAGTTATCATGGCACCAGCCTAACAAAATAATACCTTTTCATCAAAGTAACACTTCTAGCAAATGGAAAGGCAGTTACATATAGTGTATGTGGATCTTGTGGTGAAGAATGAGGAGTAGTATCATTTAGCAGTTTCTCAACTGTGTATTAGGATTGTCACTGCTTTCCTTGACTTTGATGAGCAGTAGTCAGGGGACAGCATGGAGCAAAAAAGAAAGAGGGCAGAAATTCATCAGACTTGCATAAGTGTCTGTGTTTTGTCAGTGTTGTTTCTTTCTTTTTATATTAACTGTATGCTGGATTCTTGTATTTGGAGGCTAGCATTTGGGTATGAAAACAAATCAGTGTCAGTCTTATTTTCAGGGATTTGATTTAGAATTTACATAAGTCTCCATCCTGGTCAGGGCTCACTGTAATAACAACTTCAGAAACTGAAGGCATAAATAAATATTGTATAAATACATTTTCTACAACTTTTTATTGGTAATATTGTGCCAGTCATAACCATGTTCTACAAATTCTAGTTCAGTGATATACGATGGTAAGATTACACACCATCTAGAACACAAAGGGAGAGGACAGTTTCAAAACATTCAACTTTTGAGAAACGCCTTCTTTAGTTGTTTTCAATCTGAAGTTGTCTGTCAGAACATTTTTATATTTTTAAAGGATGTTCCATAATTTTACAGTAGCTGTATAGAATAATCTGTCTCTTATCATACAGTGATATTTAGCACATATAGCAGCTTTCCTTAAAAATGAACTATATACAGGCTAACAGTTAACGACTCAGCGTTTCTTGTTTTCCATGTGAGATTCCAAGTACAGGCATACAGATCACAACTCATTTTTGAAAATTATAGTGACATTTTTGCAAGTCTTATGAGAGCAACTCTTACACCACTAATGGGTAACTGGATGACCGCAGCAGCTGCTCAGTTCTCACTAAGAGAGCGTAGCAGCTTTGTAGAAGCTAGAATGATACAATTTGTGATTAATGGTAGGTCAAAATGGTGAGTTTTTTTATTTTGGGTGTACATACAGCATTAGAAAGAAGTGACAAAGCATGCAAATAATTTCCTGTACTTTGTTTTCCTGATTTAATTTTCTCTATTTCAGTGAGATCTGCCAGATGGTTCTGGATTCAGTAGTATTCTGCTTCCAGCGCATTTTGCACATATTTGATATTTTATTCAAATTTGACATTTCAGAGTGAGGGGACTTCTTCAAGAACATTGAGAGGAAGAGTGAGAATTTAATTTATTAAATATTGCATATTTTTATATAATCATTTATTGAGCTAAGAGATAAAACTGTTTTATAATTTATGTTAAGAAGGTGGGATTCTTAGCTTTAACCTGTTGTGTTGAAATGGGATTAATACAACTCTGATTATTTTATAGGTTTTTTTTAATTAAAAAAAACTCAACTATTTTTAAGGAGGTTGTTAAAAAAAAAAAAAAAAAAATCCAGTATAAGCTCTAATACAGAAAGCTTAAAAGGCAAGTTTACCCCTTTGAAGCCTGTAGCTCTGAACTACAAATGAAGGCTTAATGAGGATACTTCCTTGCAGCTTGCTTCAAATATCGATTTATTGTGCACACTGCATTAACTTCCAGAAGTATAAACTTCCATTAGTCTTAAACAATGTTTCTTTCCCCTAAGTAAAGAGGGGAACAATACTGCCATAAAAGAATATGTTTCTCTTTTTATCTATAAGTTTGTTCTTCATTTTTATTTCATTTTCTTTACATTTTTAACCTCTTAGAAATCTGATCTAAATTGAATCATGACACTCTTCTTTTTAATATCAAGTCGCACAAACTGCCACTAGCAGAAAGATGGTACTAAAGGTACCAATGGTACACTAATTTCAACTGCAACCTCAGCTTTCCTGTTCTTGTCTCTTATTATCTTTTTTGGCTGAGTGACAAAAGAGCTCTGCTTTAGCTCCAGGAGTGCTACGCAGGCCAGCCATCTCCTGTCAGAATGCCTGAATTCTACCTGCACCTGTATCCCTGGGGATGTTAATTTAGACCTCCATGCTTGAAACTTTTAGGGTCTTAATTATCTTTTAGACATCCTTTTACTGATTTGATTAACATTTGATAGTCACCCAGATGAAAAATTACTGAGAAAAGAGAGACAGTCAGGACACATATACTGGGATTTTAGTCTTAGCTAAGGCTAAAATGAGCAGACATTGAAAAAGATCTGATGAGTGGTTGGGATGCATACACTTGTAGTCAAAATAAGAGACAACACAATACAGATTTTTTTCCATGAACATTTCTTTTAATTAAAATGCAAATTTTGATGAACTGTACTTAAGACTCTTAATTCCTCGCTTGAAATTCTGTTTGTTCAAATAGCAGATAAAGTGATTCCTCTTCTCCCTCTCTCTTTTTAAGGTTTTTAACTCAGAAAATATATGAAAGGGAATTACTGATCTTGGCTTGAGAGTTTGATATGTATGTATTCTTGTTACTTTGTGACAGTGATGGAGCAAATTTACAATGAGGTATTTTATGATTATTCAGATAACTAATTGCAAGAGAAGGATATTTCAGAAATTTATTTTGGTTTCTATTTTTGTAGGTTTCTCCATTTTTGGTTGCAGGCACATAGCAAACTTAATTTGAATTTTGATTCAGGTAAATGCATTTTAAGGAAGGGTTTGTAATTGTCAAACTGGACTTTTAGATTTTATCTGTGTACGTACCATGGTAAATGGCGCTGTTTAGCTTTCAAGAATCTGGTGTTTGGATTGACATCCATTTCTGTATTGTGTTGTGAACTAAGTGATGTGTTTCTGCACTGAGGCAGTCAGACTTATTGGACACTGGAAAAGGTGGTGAAAAGAGATATGCTGTAAGTAGTATGTTCTCGGACTGCAAAGGGCCATTTTTTGTCAAAGTAGGAGTTTCAGCTATTAGAAGTAACTGTGAGAAAGATTGTGAAGGCAAGAATGCCCATTTTCACACCTAAGTTTTATCTGTAGTTCTCTGACCTGTTGAAATGATAGATTTCTGACCCCTGCTGTATCAGTCTGTGCCTGACTGCACACAGATGCCTTCCCATGACAACTGTGGGAGGAGGTTCTGAATGAGCTCCATAGCTCCACCTAGACACACAGTCTAGACATTGGTTGTATGGAAGTCTCCTATTTTTCTCTCTAGCACTGAGAAACTTTAGAAAATGAAAAGAAACAGAAGGAGAAGAAGGAAAGCTGTGGCCTTGTGATTAGCGGATTCTCTGTTGAGAAGAAGCAGCGGCCCCAGTCTCAACCCTAAGGTCTTCTCCAGCACTATTTGCTGAACAGTCATAGAAATATGTTTCAGCTGAAGAGCTTGTTTTCTTATAAAGAGATAGTTACTGAAAATTCATAAATAATAGAATATTTTCTGTATCGGTATCTGACATGTGCAAACCTGCAGGAGCATATTTGCTATTGAAAATAACTTTTTCTATGAATTTCCTCTGGTAGAAAAAAAAAAAAAAAAGCTTTTTTTTTTTTTTTTTTTTTTTTTAATATCCTACATCATACTTTGCTACGCATGAATCCAGTGGGGTTTCAGAGACACCATTCTTTGTCATTTTTCTGTCAGGTTTACAGCTTTTCTGTGTATATTTTTCTATGATTGATTTGCAAAAGTATGACTAAAACTGGAATCTTAATTATATAAAGTTTAGTTAAAGAAAAAAACTGCATTTAATCAAAGAGTGCTAGCAATGATCAGATTTGGTGTGCAGTATCTCTGGTGAATCCTTGACTTAAACGATGTTATCTTGATTTTGAATGTATGCTAGTAAGCCATATCAAAAGTGCAAATATTCAGAAAAATTGAATTCAATTAATCCACTCAAAAGGAGAAATTTAAGGCTAGATATAAGTTCTTTCATTACCAGGTAGATTTTCTTATTCCTGG